GTTTAATGAAGGAAAAGGTGTCATGACATGAGAAGAGAGGTGGTGTTCTTTCTGTAAATTTAACTTATTCTACCTTAATACTTAAAGGTATATATTGTCGTGGGGGCTACACTATACTACACCGGTTCTCTACATTCATCATATGAAACACAGCACTTAGCTGCTATTTTCGTTTGTTGCAAGCAATTACTTACTGCTCGTGTATCGGATAAATTTTGATATAGTTTAGATATTATAATGACGTGTTAGAGACACGATGCAGCTATATTATGATTGTAGCACGAATACGTTGCCTTGACCGGGGAAGGACCACGCTCTTACATAAGCTTAATTAAATAATACCAGCGTGAAGTACCTTAATGCTGCTGTTTCGTATGGTAAGTGTAGAGAATCTGAGACCCTTTTTTACTGCATACGAGGCATTCCATCTTAGTCCTTAGGGGTGACAACGCATGTGCATTTTAATTCTTAATCGCGAATAAATGTAAAATAGATGTCTTTGGGCCACAGTATCCACTTACCATGAGATGGACTGTGTTCTCTTTTGTCACCCAAATTCTATAAAAATATATATAATAGATGTTCAAAGCGAGGTTCACCGACAGTTGTATCTCTAGCCCTTACTTACGAAACGGACAAATGTATTTTCTACCGACTTCAAAAAGGAGCCGGTACTCAATTCGACTTTATGTTTTTTTTAATGTGTGTTACCTCATAACTTCTTACTGGGTGAACCGATTTCGATGATTTTTCTTTTATTTGAAAGGTGGTGCTATTTGATCAAAGTCTGACCAACAGTTTTTGAGTTATTCTTAATAATTTAAATTGAAGTCGGTTGTACAAAATTTTTAATTTCAAATTATGCTAGATATGCTGGTAATCTGCGAGAGCATATAAAAATATTAGAGCTCCACTGTAGCCATATTATGGTTACAATTAATATAGCTGCAGCATGACTCTACCATGTACAATTGATGATTGCATTATCACCTTTAGGGACCGAGATAGAAATTTCCGTTATACTGATTTAGAAGTATATCTCTATGTTCCGTTACGAGTAAACCGTCAAGGTAAGAGTTTTCGGTACTCGTCACTAACCGTAACAAGGGAATCATGTTCTGCTATCCACACTGGTATTCTGTGGGAGCATGCTCCTCTAATCGTCTTACCCATATGGTGCTGAACCATGGAACACTGACGCTGTGGCGACGGCTTATTACTCATTACCACGTAATAACTGCCACAAGTCACGTGTTATTCATTGCCATGTTTTGTCACGAAAACATATAATTTTTAATATTTATTCACATATTATTTATGTTAATTGAGTATAATATTGTACAGTTACCCAACTTACTCTAACACGTAAAAATAATAATGTAATTCCGAGTTATTATATTTTTTTATAACGGAGTTCGTTATCGTACGTTACGAAACAGATTTTTCCGTCACGACCCCCTTTGTATAGTTAGAGAGAGATGGAATAATATCCATGTTCCTCACACTTTTTCTTATCTTGCCATAAAAGACAAAACGGTGGTAATGTATGGTGGTATGGTCCGCTCAACACAGTAACTCGGGGCAAAGTGAGCAACAAGACCAAGGCGACCCCTGCCACGCTATCCGTGAATTTCTGCAACATCAGAGGACTTCACTCGACTCTAAACGCCGTCCACTACCATCTCGAGACGGCGAAGCTGACCTTACTCTTTTTGACCGAGACGCAGGTGTCCTCTCCGGCTGATAGTTCGTATCTCTCCTACCCGGGCTACAAATTGCAGCACTCCTTTGTGCCTCGGGCTGAAGTTTGCGTATACGTCAGAGAGGAAATCTTTTCTCGACGCCTCGGTAGTGTGGAAGGTTCGGACCTGTCCATCCTTTGGCTACGCGTAGACAGCGACGATCATCCGCGCGTCTACGGGTGCCTCTATAAGTCCCATAGCGGTAATGCCGAAACAGACCGACTCATCGACCACGTCTAAATGGCTACAGATTCGTTGCTACAACAGGTCCCATCCGCAGAGATCGTGATCCTTGGCTATTTTAACGCCCACCACGCCGAATGGCTCGGTTCACGTTTAACCGTACATGCGGGGGAATCTGTTTATGACTTTGCCTTGGCATATGGTCTGACACAACTGGTTACTTCGCCCACGCGGATTCCAGATGTGGAGGATCATACACCTTCCCTGTTGGACCTTCTGCTGACCTCTCATTCGGACGGATATCAGGTTTCCGTCGATGCCCCTCTCGGCTCTTCGGACCATTGTCTAATCCGGAGTGTGGTGCCACTCACGCTCCCCTCGCGGTTGCGTTCTGCAGTTTCTCGCCGTGTTTGGCATTACAGGTCGGCGGATTGGGACGGAATGCGGTTTTTCTTTAAATCCTACCCATGGGATGATCCAAGCGCTGTTGCTGACTCTGCTGAGCATATAGGCAGAATTGGCGAGAAACTAGTTCACCTTCCTTCGGGAACCTGTGCATTCTGGTCCCTCGCCAAGGCTGTCCAAGGGAATTTCTGTAAGCCATCACTACCATCTCTGCACAGGGAGGACGACTCACTGGCCGAGGACGCAAAAGAGAAAGCCGACCTTTTAGGCTCCCTTTTTGCGTCCAACTCGACTCTTAATGACGGGGGGAACACACCGCCGACCATTCCGCGGTGTGAGTGCTCCATGCCAGATGTGCGGTTCTCACAGCTCTCGGTTCGCAAAGCACTCCTCTCCCTGGACATCCAGAAGTCGAGTGGGCCTGACGGAATCCCTTCAATTGTGCTGAGGACGTGTGCTCCGGAGTTGGCACCGGTTCTAACTCGTCTTTTCCGGTACTCCTACTCCCTAGGCGTAGTCCTGAAATCATGGAAGACAGCTTTTGTCCACCCGATCCCTAAAAAGGCGACCGCTCAGACCCGACCAACTACAGGCCTATCGCCTTCACCACCTTGTTCTCCAAAATAATGGAATCCGTTATAAACTGCCACCTCATGCGGTACCTTGAGGATCACCAGCTGATTAGTGACCACTAATACGGTTTTCGTCGGGGTCGATCAGCTGGTGATCTTCTGGTCTACTTAACTCATAAATGGGCGGAGGCAGTCCAAGGGGGAGGCATTGGCCGTTAGTTTGGACATTGCGAAGTCATTCGATTGGTTTGGCACAAATCGCTTCATTCGAAGCTCCCTTCCTATGGGCTTCCCGAGAAATTGTGCAATTGGATCACCAGCTTCCTTGCAGATCGGAGCATCAAGGTCGTTGTAGACGGTGCATGCTCCGACTACAAGCCTATTAACGCTGGTGTTCCACAAGGCTGCGTGCTATCACCAACGCTGTTTCTTCTGCAATGATATGTTGCAAACCGGTAGCATGCATAGCTATACGGATGACAGCACTGGTGATGCTCTATACACCGGCCGTGCCAATATTTCTCGGGAAAACGTCGCTGAGTACCGGAACAAACTTGTGTCTGAAGTCGAGTCTTTGCTGGACAGTTTCGGATTGGGGGCGACTAAATCTAGTCCAGTTTAATCCTCATAAGACACAAGTTTGCGCGTTTACCGCTAAAAAGAAACCCTTTGTCGTATCTCCTCAGTTTCAAGGTTCTTCCATTGTTGCCTCAGCCAGTAGCGGAATCCTCGGCGTCGACATATCGAGTGACGTGCAATTTCGTGGTCACTTGGAAGAGAAGGCCAAATTGGCCTCTAAAAAGCTTGGCGTGCTCAGCAGAGCGGGACAGTATTTTATGCCGGCACAACGCCTGCAACTTTACAAGGCGCAGGTTCGGCCTCACATGGAATACTGTTCCCATCTCTGGGCAGGGGCTCCCCAGTGCCAGCTCCTTCCACTTGAATGCATCCAGCGCAGAGCGACTCGAATCGTCGACGACCGAGTCCTTTCCGATCGGCTCGACTCATTGGCGCTGCGAAGAGATGTTGCATCTCTTTGCATTTTCTTTCGCATTTACTACGGGGAGTGCTCTGAGGAATTGTTCGGATTAATCCCAGCCGCCAAATTTCACGTACGGATCTGAATGATTGGCGGTCCACCACTGTGCGATTTAGACGATGTTTTCTTCCTCGCACAACTTCCTTGTGGAATATTTTACCACCAGCGATTTTCCCGGACTGATACAACTTAGGGACCTTCAAGAAAAGAGCCTACTCCTTTTTAAAAGGCCGGCAACGCATCTGCAATTCCCCTGGTGTTGCGGTTGTTCATGGGCGACGGTAGTCACTTACCATCAGGTGAGCCGCATGCTCGTTTGCCCCCTCTTTTAAAAAAAATATGATTTTTAAATGACGCTTCATTTAAATAGACGCTAGTAATTTATATATTTGTATTACCAAATACTATCAATAATAATATAATATAATATAATAGGTATCAATAATAATATACTACGAAAGGAACTTCGTTCCAACGGAGTATTCCACGACACTCACGCATGTTTTTCTTGTGTCACGCGCAGTCTGATCTTTTATTTGAATTATATGTTTGTTTAAGTCTCAAATAATTAAGACTTTGATCACTAACTACGATTTTAGTTACATAGGCTCATTGAACCTACCTGCTCTTATGAATAAAGAAATACATTGTATATATATAATATATATTGTACACACACATATTTGGAATTGCTTATCTATTATTTTTATTTGTTTTTCTCTTTTGAAAACAAATATAGTTCTCTCAATTGTTATATAACTCTGGGAGAGGCCACCGATTCCAAAGATACAGACTCGTCTAGTTTAGGGGTCAGAGGCTTCTTTCATTTTTGTAATTTATTTAAAAAAATAAATGAATACTTATTTATTTATTTGAATATTATACTAAAATTACATTAATTTGTTTAAATTATTCTGTTCAGATTTATCTGTGCGGAATTTTCAAATGACCATGCGTTTATGTCATTAATATAATTGTCAATTATAATATGCTTTTCTAAACAAAGTGTTTTTTACATTTATGTAAAGTCGACGTATAGTTTCTTCTTATGATTTCCAGTGCTTCGTGACCCTCGGCGTATCGCTCAACATGGCTGGCCACGGTCTGGTGATGGGGTTCGCTGCTATCCTATTACCGCAATTACGTAAACCTGACTCAATCATACCCATCGATGATTCATCAGGCTCTTGGATAGGTAAGTTTTTTTACAAATCTGAATTGATAAACCAACGTACAGTCCACCTGATGGTAAGTGGCCACTGCAGTCCATGGACACCTATTTTGTGACAAACGAGCAGACAGTCCACTTGATGGTAAGTGGATGCTGTGGCCCTAAGACATATACATCTATCCTCGATTAATAATCAAAATGCAGATGCATTGTCACCCCTGAGAACTAAGGTGGAATGCCTCGTTTCATTTTTGTTTGATTTCATCTTATACGAAACAGATCATCATTAAACTGCTATTTCACGCTTTGTATTCTGTAAGAGCGTGATCATTCCCTGGTCAAGCAAACCTATACGTGACACAACCGTAATATATGTGGATTTTTTACGTGGTAGAGCCATGCTGCAGCTATATTAATAGTATAGTCGTAGCACGAATGGGTCGGCTCGACCGGGGAAGGACCACGCTCTCACAGAATACCAGCGTAAAATAGCAGCATTAAGCTGCTATTTTACACTGCTATTCTGTGAGAGTTTCGTATGGTGAGTGTAGAGAACCATTTTACTGGAAAAGAGGTATTCCATCTTAGTCCTCACGGCTGATAACGCATCTGCATTTTGATTCGCAAACGAAGATAGATGTAGATGTCTATGGGCCACGGCAACCACTTACCATCAGGTGGACTGTGTGCTCGTTTGTCACCCTTATTCTATAAAAAAATGCAGCGTGGCTCTATCATGTATGAACCTGCAACCTGCACCCAACTTCTAGTAAAGAAGGTTGCGTTGGAAAGATGCGTTGTCACCGCTGAGTCCTAAGATGGAATGCTTCATAGGTTGTAATTACACTGGCTCTCTACATTCTTCGGACCAGATCACAGTAGTAAGCACTGCTATTCGGAGCGTCAATAATAATAATAATAGGCGATTGAGGAAACGCGCAGTACGCCTCACGAGAATCGACCGCGGCTTCCTCGCATACTCCTAAGCAAGCGGAATCGGGCTGTCGTGAACCCAATGCTGGTGACCTATTTGGAAGCCAGCCCGGACCTTTGCGAGACGGACTCAATTCTTTTTTGCGGCGCACTGACAGTATGCCGTATTATTGGCGCCAAACTCCTCATGGCTGGACGTGTTACTAGAAATAGTAGCGCCGTCCCAGCCTGGAGAACAAGAATTGAGGAACGTATCGCAAAAGCAAGAGCCCTAATCGACAGACTGACAAGTTTCAGATCGGGTAATAATAGACCGACAATTGTGTGCACCGTCAGGATGGCGTTTGCTGGGATAAATATAAGTTTGTCCCAGCCGGATATCACGCAAAAACTGACGAAGCTCATAGACGACCTGAAACAGAGAATCGCTGCTTGGTGAAAGTGGATTCGGCGATATACCGAGAGGTCGACAAGGTTCAACCAGAATCGTCTCTTCCAAAATGATCAGAAGAGGCTCTATGAATCATTGGAACGACCAATGGTACGTGGAACGGGCCCAGCACCAAATCAGGCCGACACTGTCGCATTCTGGCGCGGCCTGTGGTCGGAGCGCGTAAACCACAGCGATAGCTCTTGGACAAAAGTTGTGGCGAGTCAGTGTGCGAGAGTTACGCCCATGGACCCCTTCATCAACGCCGGATGACGTAGCTGGGCCGGTCCGTAGGGCCCCGAACTGGAAAATTCCGGGACTCGACGGGCTGCATCACTAGTGGCTGAAGGGATTCGGGGTGTGTCACATTGTACTCGCCCGACAGTTTCAAGAGGCTCTCGACCAAAAGTCGCTCCTGAGCCTCTTCACTACTGGGATCACTCATTTGGTTCCTAAAGACCATGATTCCACAGACCCTAGCAAATACCGCCCCATTACGTGACTACTCACCATATATAAGACACTGACATCCATTTTGATTACGCGAATCTTTCGTCACCTGGATTTAAATCAGGTGATGTCATGTGCTCAATATGAATGCCGGGGTGGTGGTCGTGGAACCAAGGACCACCCCTCATTGACGCGGTTTAAACACTTTTCCAATGACAAAGTGGTTAAACGCAACCGTCGTAACTTCTCCGCCGCTTGGATAGACTATAGAAAGGCATTCAACTCGGTGCCCTATACATGGCTAAAGAGGGTCCTCGAGCTCTACAAGGTTGACTGTACAGTTAGAGATTTCCTCGGGCAGTGTATGGGGCAGTAGAGTACAATCCTTTGTCATCTAGGTGAGCGGATGACGGATGCGAATGGCCACATAAGGATAAGAAGGGGTATCTTCCAGGGCGATTGTTTGAGTCCAATCTGGTTTTGCCTCTCCCTGACCCCTCTCAGTACCTTAAAGGAGGACTCCGGGAGAGGATTTTAGCTTCGGAAAGAAAGTACAAAAGTGACCCATCTTTTCTATATGGATGATTTCAAATTATTCGCCTCCAATCGTTCCCAGCTTACGGAATTGCTAAACATCACCTGTGATTTTAGTAATTCTATTAGAATGGAGCTAGGGACGAATAAGTGTGCGGTCCTCCATGTCGAAAGGGGAAGGGTTGCTAACTCTGAGGGCATAGACTTATCTATGCCCATCAGCATAAGGACCATTTCCGAGGCTGACACATACCGATACCTGGGTATGTCACAGAATAGAATAGAATAGAATGATTTTTTATTCAATATTGATTATTATATAATACTTATTAAAAGTATTTTTTTTATTTACCACTCGTTCGGAAAATACCTCTGTCCTGGGAAGAAGCAGCAAGAAACCCAGCGGGACTTTTTTTTAAAACATAATTTCACTTAACAATAATTTTGTTTATAAAATTTTAAAAGAATTTTCATAGAACCAGCATGATGGTGATCACCTCATTCCCAGGGGTTATTTTTATTCATGTATTCCTTGATATTATAATATTCCTTTTTGTACAGCTTTTCTTTAATAAAACTTTTAAATTTGTTTATTGACAAACTTTGAACATGTTCTGGGATTTTTTTTGTAAAAGCGTATACATTGCCCCATAAATTAATTACTAATTCTTTGGAGTCTAGTAACTGGCTTTACAAGCTTATGTTTGTCCCTAGTGTTTAAGGTATGAACATCCTTATTGTTATTAAAGGTATTTATTAGTTTATGTACATACATTACATTTTCATATATATATATATATTGCGATGCCAAAGTTAATATGTTTATTTCTTTAAAATTTTCTTTGAAGGATTATTTACAATTTAGATTATAAATCGCCCGTACGGCTCTCTTTTGCAAAACAAATATAGCTTCAATATCAGTCGCATTACCCCATAGCAATATTCCATAAGACCCCATTGAAGTTTCGCGTCAATAGTAATACCAAGAAAAACAGGGGTATCCACAAGATTTAACTCCTCCCCATTTAAGAGCACTTGGTTTTCGAATGTTTTACATTAGTTATTGTAAATTTAATACATTTTGTCTTATTGCCGTTTAAGAGCAAATTGTTGACGTTAAACCAATGTACTAATTTCGATAGAGCATTATTTACATCGTCATAATTAATAGACTGCCGTTTGAGTTTGAAAATTAAAGAGGTATCGTTAGCAAATCGTGATTGTCCCTTACAAGATAAGGTAAGTCATTAATATAGATTAAGAACAGGAATGGGAACGTAATGTTGTAGTTTCCTGATTAATGTCTCATGATGAACACAATCGAAAGCCTTGGAAAGGTCACAGAAAATACCTAAGGCATCTTGTGAAGTCTCCCAGGCATTAAAAATATATTTCATAAGCTCAACACCAGCGTCAGACGTCGAGCAACCCCTTGTAAAACCAAATTGGTTTTTACGAAGTTATTTATTTGTATTAAAAAAAATTAACAATTGATCCAACATTACTTTTTCAAAAATTTTACTGAGAGTTGGTAGTACAGAAATAGGTCTATAATTAGTGGGGTCCAATGTACTACTAGATTTAAATAAAAGTATTACTTTACTTGTAATGGCCGTGTAGTGGCGGTTAAGAATATCCACTACCCCATATCTTTCCGTGAATGTCGTAAAAGGCGACAAAGGGAAACAAGCAGGAGATGGGCAGCAGAATCTTCCTGGTAACGGCAACCCGCTCGCCAAGCGTGGCAACTATGGCAATATACCCCCCATGATGAAAGTTACGAAGAGACGGCCCCCAGTGCCCGGCGGCCCCGCTATTCCTGGCTACGGTGGCGACCATGGTAACGGCGGGGCAGGGGGTGCTAAGAATCTCCGGTGGAGGTTCGGTTGCCACCTACGACGACTCGACCTGGCAACATACAACGCACGCACCCTGAGGACTGACAAGAAGATTGTGGAGCTGGAAGAAGAGATAGACAAGTTACGCTGGCATATTATAGGATTATCCGAAGTCCGAAGAGAGGGGGAGGACACGGTAATCCTCGAATCCGGCAACTTGCTCTATTACCAGGAGGGTGACCATCTGTCCCAAGGTGTCGGATTTATCGTCCACAAGTCTCTCGTTAACAACGTTGTAAAGATTGAGAGTGTGTCGACGAAGGTTGCGTACCTTATACTCAGAATCACCAAACGGTATTCGCTGAAGGTCATACAGGTTTACGCACCAACCTCGGCACACCCCGATCAGGAGGTGGGGGAAATGTATGAGGATATATCTAGAGCCATGCATTCATCCAAAACCCAATATACGGCGTTAATTGGAGACTTCAATGCAAAACTAGGCACAAGAGAGAACGGTGAGCTGAAGGTGGGGAAATTTGGAATAGGGCAACGGAACCCAAGGGGCCAGCAGCTGGCCGACTTCATGGAGAAAGAGGGACTCTTTATGAGGAACTCTTTCTTCCAGAAGCGGCCCCACAGGAAGTGGACCTGATCGAGCCCCGACGGTTCGACAAAAAATGAGATTGACTTCATTATGACGACCAGACGACATTTGTTCAGTGATGTCTCAGTGATCGCGAGGGTGAAAACCGGCAGCGATCACCGAATGGTTAGAGGCACACTGAACCTAAACGTTAAGTTGGAGAGGTCTCGTCTAATGAAGTAAACGCTCCGTC